GGAAAGATCACACATCCAGGCTTGCCTTCACCTGAAGTCCCCAGGTAACAGGCACACTGGACAGATGTGCTTCAGGAGTCATCTGTGAAGCAGATCTGGTATTCCTTCTGCCAATGGTCTCTGTACTGACACTTGCAAGTCACAATACTGAAAAGAAGGAACTCTTAGAGAAACACCTAGGGATATGAGGTAGAAAAGTGCTTTAACCATGTCTCTGTGGTGAACATGAACCACTTACCTTCACAAGAAATCCCATCAGCCATGATCGTATATCCAGACAAACAAGAGCACACAACGTTTCCTTCCACGACATTGCAGATGTGTTTGCAGGGGCCGTTCTCTATACAAAGAAAATTGCAAAATACATTAGCATTCACAACACAGATCAGCTGAAGTTACAAACCTCCGGGTCATCCAAATATAATCCCAGTTTAGGCAATGGGGAATGCAGTTTGTAAACGATCTGTCCAGGCAGCCCTAATCACTACTTACAACCCTCCTACTACACAGAAGCACACCTGTGCCACTCCTTACCTGTATTGCTCACATTATGCTTCACAGCTGTACTGCTTGCCTTAAACTACACAGCAGGTGTGTAATAACCCTGAAATAAGATCATAGCTTCAAATTACTTCCACAGCTTTCCCCTGACAATTCCTCAGCCTCATGCCATAGGTAACAAATTAAGCAGACTGGTGAAGGGATGTGCAGAATTCTATTCTGGTTCTCTAAATATTCCTCACTCATCTGCACCTTCAGTTTATACCTCCAACATACCTTTACACTTATCCTGCTCTTCTTCTAAGGACACAATGCGAAGAGGCTGAGAAGGAGAGGCTACCGGAGGGATGGTGGCTCCTGCTTCCAGCCTTGCCACCTGTCCTCTGTCAAGATCTGTAAGGCAAGAGAGGCAGAGATGGATCAGGGACAGCATCACCTCCACCAGACCCCCCATGGCAAGGGTCCCATTCATCTCGCTCCATTGTGGTTTGCAAGAGGAAGCATCCTGGTGACCTGAAGAACTGCCTTTGCATGGGCAGTCAGTTTTGGAAGCTGCCATCTGTTTGATATGAGCAACTGTCTGACAGCACAAACACGTAGAGTGCTGCGTGCTAATGGGGATGCTCACAAACACCGTGGATACAGATCAGGGCGTTCGCCTGAAAACAACTTCTGTAGAGTAAAATGAATAAAACAAAGTGTTAATTCTGTTTCCTCAGATACTGTTCTATTGTAAACACAGCAGCTGTCTTTCAGTCGGTGTATGACCAAAAAAAGAGCTGAACCCAAGCCAAGTCTTTAAAGTTCTCCTGTACATCCCATTTCAACATGGATGAAAAGCAGATGCTCACCTTTACAAGCACAGGATAACCTGGAATGACTTTTACACAGCCAAGCGGAAAACATGACAGCTGCTGTCTGTCATGGAGATTTTCAACAAACAGTAATGTTAAAGGTATCAGAATAGTTAAAAAGACAAAAAGCTCCATTACATTAATAGCAGTAATCCAGTTTACCAGTATCATCAAACCAGAAGCCTAAATCGTAGAATCACAGAATGGTTTGGATTGGAAAGGACCTTAAGATCATCTAGTTCCAACCCCCTTTGCTAAGGCTAAATTCTTTCTGAAGAGGGATGTGTCCTATTCCCACTGATCTGAGTTCAAGTGTCACCCAGAGCAAAGTGTGAGCCGCCAAACAATGACAATGTCCAATGACTGAGTGAGTGCAATGCAGGTTTGGGGTGCAAAAAGAACCACTTCATTAGAAAAATATAAACATTAAATCAGAGAAAACCAATGGGCTATAACACAGGGGCATAATGACTTCCGCAGAAAGAGAGCAGAGAACAGAAGTAGCTTTTGAAGTTTCATCGGTGTCTGCTTTCTCCTTGCCTCACAGAGCCACTGCAAGAACATACCTCCTTCCAAGGCTCGTGAAAAAGTGCGACACATTTTAAAAAGCAAAAGTTAAATGCAAAAACATTCACAGTCCAAAGAGCAGGAAATGTGCTGGGACAGGTTCAAATACAAAAGCATTCTGTCTAATCACAGGAGTAAAAATTACCACCAGTATGAGATTTACAACTGCCTGGCGTGGGTCTCTGTGCACAGAGCACATGACAGAGCTGTGCACATACACAGAGAAAAATGGGAAATGGAAGGCCACTGTGCCACATTGCCAGGTAGAGCACAGCTTATGCAAGCGTAGCAAGTGGGGTGCCCTGCCCTGCCATCTCCCTTCCCAGCCTTTGATTTGACCCAGGACTGGAGGACAGCAGCAATCCTTCCTCACCTCACTCTTCCTACATGTCTCAGCTGTGCCACTTGCAGTCCCTACCCTCGCTGCAATCCTCTTCCCTCAAGGGATCTCTGCAAAACCCCCCTCACTTCTTGGCACAGCCATGAGCACTGCAGTCCTGCACGTCTGCCAGGAGCACTGACTACCCAGATAGATACAAAATGTATTAACCCAAATCTGTACTCAGAGCTAGTAGTGGGAGAACCAAAGCAAAGCAAAGCAAAACCACACGTGGTCCAGGTGAAGGATGAAGCCAAATTTTGCAGTGCTAAAATAAGAACCATTTTCTTTGCCTCTTTTGAATCAGGTTCCTTCTCCAGAATTTCAATATAAGCAACAAAGCAGAGCGCTGCTGCAGAAACCCTGTCAAACACATTACTGATGTAAGCCCTGTAACATCACGTTGAGAAGAATGACATAATGCATGTTGTTTGGCTTGGGCAGAAAGTATCTGAAGCCTACGGAACCTTCTCATTGGATGGCAGCACTTACTCTGCTTGTTGAATAACTGAAAGCACTTGTAACTAACATAAAGTTTCAACTTTTGAGGTTATCTGATTTCAAATCATGCCATTGGAGAACTCCAGACATCAAAACAATTACAGCACAAGAGACTTTCTTTTCAAGCCTTCCACCACACTAGATGTATTTAGATTTTGTATCACTGAAAGTTGATAATGATTTTAGATAAAAATCAAAGCTCGGGAAGTGATGATGTCTGTTTGAACTGAGGAAACTTCATGTAAAGGGAAGCTAACGGTGAAATACAAAACGACTCTGAGAAGAAAAGTTATTTAATCAACGATCTTTACAAATCCTCTTCTGAATAGTGAAAACAGTCTTGATTTGAACATATTAAATACCACCTTGACCCCATGCCACTAATACACAAAAATAAGGCATAATTAAGTTTCCTAAATGGTTGGTTTCCTCTTCACTATTAACCTGTCCAATTTCTACAGCACACGTCCATGCATGAACACCCCTAAAATACCTAACAGAAACTATCGAGAGACAAAGAAAGCTTGGTAGATCCATACAGGTGGCACAAAGACACCATCATGCATGGTGTTTCCTGTCCATTTTCTCACCTGGAGAGCAGCTGGTCCCATCCTCTTGCAAACTGAATTCTGGAAAACACGAGCACTTGTAGGACCCCACAGTGTTTATACACAAATGCTGGCAGAGCTCCCCACCATAGATAAGACATTCATCCAGGTCATCTCCAGGCAGGTTATTTGACAACTCAGCTTCATTATTGATAGACAAAGCTTCATTGTGATCTTCTGTCTCTGAAACTACAACAGAACAACACTTGCTGGTTCTCTGGCAGGTGTGTTAGCATTAGGACTGTACAGTACAGAGTGTTTCCCCAGTGAACTGCAGATATAGTCAAATCTACCCAAAACAACCCAAGGACAAGAGCAAATGAACCCATCCTGAAGATGCTGCAGGTCTACCACCACCTCTTTCCGTAAGGCTGGAGGAACAGGCATTTCACAGGGGCCACTGAGAAATACAGTGACACTGGGAGGTCAACAAGCTCACTTTTCACGTGGACTAACACCATTGCTACTATTATTTGAACCAATGTACCACACTGCAGCCCCATCTGAAATTGGCCCCCCTGAAGAACCACACTGAATCTCAAATTTCAGGAGAAAAGCTTGTCCAGTTGGTTTGAAAACTCTTTTCAACACGTTACTACTTTATTGGTTACCTCTGTAGCTAGCATCACAAACCTTCGGGGACCTTCTTGACAATGACATGGCTGTCCTGCCTACTGCTTTTAAACCCTGCCAAAAGCACCACCCTTTTCATTTCTTGACCAGGTTTGACAAGACTTTCTGCCATACTAAAATCAGTTTTTCAGCCAGCTTTCCGTAAACGCATACGTGCAAACTTCCTCAGTGAGGCCTCAGCTAGGTCAAAATAAACCCCTACCTTTGTTGGTGAGGAAGAATACACACTTAGTTCACAAGAAGAGAATAGACAAAAATGGACCTCAGCGTATGCGGGAGGTCACCACGCAACTCACATGTGACCGGTGGCTACAGAGTGATGCAGGAGTGTGATCTTGGGCTAATGGAGGAAGCAAAGCTGTCCGAGCTCCAGATTCCTCATGCTCCCTTTGTCACACCTCTTTGCCTGCAGGGGTTTGACTTAGCTCTTCAGCATCACTATGTTCATACACTGAAAGAGTACACACTAACTTGCAGTGCTCTGGGGCTTCTCCAGAGTGTGCTGTGAGAAAGCTGCTGTGAAGTTCAGCCGTACAATAGGAAATCTATTCCCAGGACATTTCACTGGTATCGTAACCCATGGGACTACTTTGTCTGGAAAAAAAAATCATTCTTTGCTAATGAAGAATCCTTCAGGATTGCTTTTGCTAAAAGACAATGACCTGCTTCAACTTTGCTTCTTACCAATGGCTTGTAGCAGGGCTTTGTACTACGTGACTCAGGGGGAAAACCCAAACAAACCCCCACACTACTAAAGAAGGTACATATTAACAATCAGAAACACCTAGTTGCTTGGTTTTTTTGTCTATTGTGAAACTGTTTTAAGAACAAGGAACTCTTTCCTGCAATGTCTTCAAATCATAACCAGACACTTACCCTTCTCAGGTGTCACTGTTGGCAGAGGTTCAGGTTGCCTTTTTATTTCTGGATGGATGAAGTGGTCTCCCCCTTCACAGCAGGACAGCATCACATGGCTGCAGGGGTAGCCCAGATTGATGCTGGACTCACAGGATTTCCCCTCACTCCTCAGTCGCAGGCCCAGATTACAGCAGTCACAGCATTGCTGCAAGAGGAGGAGAAGCTCAGTAACAAGGATTTAACACAGCCCGCTCAGGGGTGAGCCCACACACCCCTCTGGCACTGATCTGAACTGTCCTGAACAGTGGAGCATCTGGAAAAGCACCTTGGTTTAGACAGCTGCAGACATCAAAGCTTTGCTGGTGCTTGGCTTTGCTATGATCCTATGATCCTACACCAACTGTGCCAGGCAGCACACCAAGTCTCAGCGTGACAATGATTACAGCAGCTCTGCATGCAAGGAAGTAATGGCACTACAGGCCACCTCTTTGCAGCTCTTGCACACAGCCACTGCTCTGCATATAGCATATTATAAACAAAATAACACCGATGTACACGACTTTGCATTAGAGCTCAAAAAATGGTTAGTTGTTTGAAGCAATGTGAAATGACTTGCAAATACCTTGCATGGACATGAGGATCTGCACCAGCACCTGAGCTCTGGCAGTAAAGACTTTCCCCTGTGCACCACTGCCCTGCAAACCTACTCTGACCGTTCATCACCCGAGTGTCTAGGGGACACCCTCCTGCCGAGACAGTGGCTAATGAAAGACCAGGGTGAATTTTATGAGCTATTGGCCTTCCTTCTCTTTCCTGAGTGCACCTAAGCAGCAGCTTCACTGACAATTGATGCAATGGGGCATCCCTGAAGTGTCTCTCCTTCAGTTTCCTCTGCTGCAAGTGGCAGACAGAAGTTGTTGTGCTTTACTCAGCCACATCCAATATATTTCAGTCAGGCCATAGAAATACACCAGGTTTCTATCAGATTCATAAAGTCCATAATATGTATGCATAGTGGATACCTAATCAAGAAAGGAAGCTGAGGAGATGCAAGTCTCTGCTAGAAACATACAGGAATTATACGTGAATTGAAGATGCCTGTCTGGATTTAAATGCAAGTGTTCTGACATCTCTAATATATACACACATTTAGACACTTTCATTCACAGAATAGTTATAAAATGCAGAGTCTCTTTCCCGCTGCAATTCCTTTCATGGTCAGGACATCCAGCCCAGCAGCACTCATTTACAGGTTGCAGCTACACTGAAACAGCCTCTCTGAACCAGGGGAAGTGATTTCAGGGTCTATTCAGATACTCAGTCTATAAAAAGCCGTCAGACACATAAAACGAAGGTCATAATTCAAACTGGCACCAGTTGGCTCCATCAACAGAAAGCCCAAGGATGAACTGAAGAAAACTAAACTAACTCCTACTTCCTAGGAGAGAGATCCCTGACCTGAGGAGAGCAAGTAAGAGCAGCAGTGTTGTGAGGGTTGGATGCAGTACGGAAGTGGGAAGGAATCACGTTTCATGATCAGCAATCCTAGACGGGTATTCACACAAAACGGAGCCTGTCTCTGCTAGGAAGGCAGGGAAAATGTCCTCTAACAGGACTCTTTTCCCAAGTCACCTTTTTCCAGTTTCAAACACTGTAGCTTTTTGGTTTTGAGCATTTCACAGACAGTTTGTATCCCCTGCATGTTCAGCCCAGTACCTATGACTACAGCTCATGTTTTATGTCCCTCTTTCTAATCTGAACCCGCTCCCAAACATCATAAATATTAGATGATGTTCACATTTGCAAATATGCACAGCCATAAAGAGTTGCCTTTATATGCCCAAATACTTGTTTGTGACAAACGTACAGTACAGGTCCTGAAGATACTGCATTATTTTTGATATTAACTGGGCTAAATCACCTCTTCAAAAGATGTATTAAAAAATAATGTCTAAATAATGGCTTGCGGTCATGCTAGAAAAGAGAAACATCCTGTTTTCATCCCCCCAAACACAGAATCCCCAAATTTAAAATTTTATGAACTGAAAATTCTGCTTTCTTTAAACATTTTTCATATGGGTGCAACTTTTTTCAGCTTCAATATGCAAACCAGAAGTAACTAGGAAAAATGCATGGTTTTACTTAAGTATTGTAAAATATTGGAGTATTTGCCTTGCAGAATATGTATTTTTCAGTCATAGTTTTGATTCACAGTTTCTCCCATGTGCAGGCATCACAGGGAGTATTAAATCACTCACACACTTTGCACAGGGTTCGCATATTCTCCAGTGGAAAAATGGAAAAATTTGTTCATCAAAAAATTCCTTTTAAAATGTAAAAACTTGAATGTCTTGATCTTATATGAGCTCCCTTTTGAACGATACCAGATTCCACAACCGATTTAATAACAAATATGATTTTTTTTTTACATTACAATCAAGAAACACACCTTTAGAACCACTGTCAGATTCACAGCATTCTATGTTCCTCTCAAATATATCTTTGCTGGAATCTTTACCATGGTGGCATCTCATTCCACTAGGAAAAAGTCCCTAAACATCTGCTTTTTGTATTAGACTAAGTAACAACTGAAAGCAGCCTAAAATTAAGTTGTATTGAACACAAGTTGAATACCTGCATCTAAAGAGCTGGCACTGCTGCATTCATCTAGAAGCAAAAAAAAGGACCCCACATCTAAAATGCCTGAAGAAGACCTACACGTGTTCATTATCTGGAAGTAAAACCCCTGGTTTTGGGCAGGACAGTCTATAAACATCTTGCAAAGTCTTTGGGGCAAAAATCTTTCCACATTCCAGACAAATATCTTTGATCTATGGCTCTCAGACATAGCAGTCACTAACAGCAGAGTGGATCAGGGGAAACACTGCTATACACGGTCAGCATTTTCTGTGAGGTCACCTCTGAAGGAATGTTTCATACAATCAAGGACTAGTTTGGGTTGGAAGGGACCTTAAAGCTCCTCCAGTCCCAACCCCTGCCATGGGCAGGGACACTTCCCACTAGAGCAGGTTGCTCCAAGCCCCTGTGTCCAATCCTGGCCTTCCTAACATCTCATCTCAATCTCCCTCTGGCAGGTTCAAGCCATTCCCCTTGTCCTGTCCCTGCAGGCCCTTCTCCAAAGCCCCTCACCAGGTTTCCTGGAGCCCCTTTAGGCACTGGAGCTGCTCTAAGGTCTCCCCTTCAGGAGCCTTCTCTTCTCCAGGCTGCCCCAGCCCAGCATCTCTCAGCCTGGCTCCAGAGCAGAGCTGCTTCAGCCCTCGCAGCAGCTCCATGGCCTCCTCTGGCCTCGCACCAACGTTGTGGCCCCAGCATAGATGGCCACCAAATTTGTCAGGCATGATTGTCCCTTAGTGAAGCCATTAACTATAACAGAATGAGAAAGCCTTTCTTCAAGTCTCAACAGTATTTATTCATCTTTGTTATTTTTGAAACCAGTAGCTGCAATGACTAAGGAGCTAAAGGAGGAGCGAAAATGTGTTCCTTGATAATCACACCATTTCAGATAGTTTCTCTTGAAGGAAAACGTGACATTGGAACTGGCATGAGGAGCTATTACACGAAAGTATTTTGAAACTTGTTTCAGTTCAAACAGGAATTACGACGTTTTCCCTCTCCACTTCTTTCTGAGCAATGGCATGTGTGTTAAGACTTACCCTACAGCTTGTGCTCTGTCTGGCACGCAAGAGACCTAAGGATAATCATTCTGCCACACTTCTGAAATATTAATGTTTTCTCCCAAATGCACAAATTCTCTTTTTATTCTAATGGGGTGAACTCCAAACCCAAGTAAATAACAGTTGTGAAAACTACAAATCAAAACAGCTGATTAAACCTTAAACTCCACAGCAGCCACCCCTGTATTTTGCTTTTCCAGTGAACAATTATCCACAAGAATCACCAGTGTATGAGAACAGACAGAACTAATGAGTTCCCTGCTGAGACAACGGAAGCTGCACTTTAGCTTAGCTATGGCTATGTAAATTGTTATCAGAATGAAATGACTTCTGATATGCACTCTTCTGGTAAAAAAATGAGCAAGCAAGCAAGATGTTGAATCTTCAAACTGGTTTAAATTGGTTTGGCTCCACTGATTCTCATAAAACAAATCTCATTTGTATAAGCTGAGGCTGTGGCTCATGATTTGTGATTTGAACCATTCTTTAATGGTCTGCCTTTATTTATGAACAAAAGCTTCCATCATCATCTCAAATGCTTCTTCATCTAGGCTGTCATCTTGTTTAACTGAGAAATGAGGCTGCAGTTCAACACTGCAGGCAAGCAAACTCTTCTCTAATGGGTTTCAATCAGATCTTTGAATCAGTTTTGCCCTATCATTTTCTAAAGTCTTCTACACCACACACAGAAAAATTAAAATGGTCTTTTCAGCTATTTCCAAAGCGAGGAAGCAAAAGTAATACAGCAAGTTACATCTTAAAAACAGCTGGAAATAATTCAAAGCAACATTCCTGTTGCATCACTAGGTAATTGAAACCTCAACACAATTTCCGTGCCACATTCCTGCAACTTTATAATCTTCTGTGCTCCATGATAATGTTTGAAGAAATTACTGCTAAATGCAGGACATGAGGACACCTCATATTCGCAGCAAAATCTGTAGAAGCATCAGAGCAACTCACCTTGTATGCTGATCCTCCACAGGGATCCCCTTCCTCTGGCCCGCACACATCTCCCTCCTTGGCAGCGATCATGCCAGCCAGGCAGCTGTTCTCCTTCACAGTGGAGACGCAGCACTGCTTCTGAGCAATCCTGCAAAGGACACGAGCTCAAGTGTTCACTGACACTGGAGACATGAGGAGGGGATGCAAAACCCCCCAGACCTATTGGATTCACAACACAATCCACAGATTTGGTCTCTGTTTGACATATGTCTCAGTACTAGTGCAATACAGATGGTACCGCCGACCTGTGCAGGATATATTTTGTTCACATTACTAGTAAAAAGATTCACTAATAAATGCTCAAGAAGCGCTGAGTTTAGCTCTCTCAAAATCTGGTCACCAATATCCTTTACAGCTCAGCTATACTTGTGCAAGAGTCCCTCTGCCCTAGGTTTTATTTCTCAGAAGTCTTCAGAAGGTTTCAGAAATAGAAAACAGACAGAAAACTTCTCCCCTGGACAGTGGCAAAGGGAACACACCTCTACATGCTTCTTCAGCAGCCAGAGGACTGAAGCTCTGAACAGGATTTAAGGAGTGTCACATCACAAAACCCCTATAAACTCTCCTTTATAGCTCCACAGATTGTAACCCAGAATTTAAGCTTCTGGTTATCAAATACAAGGTTATGGGTGACTTGATCACTGCATATGACGTACTTTGGGTAGGTATAGCTCCTACACAAGGCTCTTCAAATCAAACATTTTAACAAGATTCATTGAAGATTGAAATGAAACTGATTAAAAATCTAAATGGCAATTTCCTAAATGAAATTCAATAGATGTTCACTGAAATAATAAAGTATTCTTCCCTACTATTTTAAAGTCTACAGTGTATTTCCCCAGTCCAGCCCCTTCAAAGAGGTACATGCTTCTTTTATTCATATACGAAAGGGGAGCAAAATCACACAGTCCCTTTGGCTGTACCCCATGGCCCTGTCTCTCAATCCATGCAGTGCTGCACCAGGAGTGTCTGGTCCTGAGAGAGGGAAGGGTCCCCGTGATGGGGAAGGGTGAGGACTCAGAGCTTTAGGCCACAAGAATTCTCCTGAGGGGGTTATGCTGAGTATGCAACCTGTGGATTGGGCATATGTGACACAGATGAAAGTGTTAAAGCTCAGGTTAAATTATGTATTATGTTATGAGTAAGGGACAAATGTGTTCTGGACAGATTCGGTGGCATGAAGGAATTAAGAAAAGTTTTTGTTTCTCCAAGAATAACCGTGGTGTCTAACTATCTTTTGCTGATGCACTGTCACAGGGCATGCTGCCTTGTGGAGCACCCTGGTAATGGTGAACAGGAGGTTGGTGCATTTTAACAGCCAGCACCTCATAGCAAAGCAATTCTCCTGCAACAGAAATACTTGCAAGTGACAACTTTTGTCAGTCAGATACCATTATTACTGAAATAAAATACAGTTGTCCTAGGAATGAAAAGCTTTCCTTTTCTGAAAATATATTTCCAATTCACAGCTTTCATCCTAATGCTTCAACTGAAATTAAAAAGGAAAGAGGTGATTATTGCACAAATATAGTTAAATACCAGTAATTTAACCACTGCTGCTTACCTAAGACTACCTAAGACATCCCAACCTTCACTGAAAAATGAAAAAAAAAACCAAAAAAACCAAAACTAACTGAAAGGCTTCATCATTTGTTGAAATGACAAAACGCTACAAGAAGCATTTTATATGTGTGAAGTGTTTATTGTATTGAAACACTGAAACACTCCATAGATTCATGTTCTTCTGAAACATGACATTTATCCATGAGACAGTCCTTTCCTGTATGAAATACATCCTAGGAACAGCACTGGCTGGAGCACTAGTGTATCACTGACCGTTTTTTGTGTTGGTGTCTCTTCACCTATCAGCACAGCTCAGCTTCAGCTGCTCTTTCCCCAGAAACGAATTGGGAACAGTATCAATCACATTCTCTTGTTTCTTTTTCACAAACCTCCTCTTTGCAGACCAGGTCAATGAGTTATTGGTTCAAAAATAATATTCAGAATGTTTCTGCTTTGGGGAAGAGTTAATGAGTTCAGATCAGTGAAATGACGTCAACATATTAAACTGATGTGAGTCTCTAATTGGCACACAGTGTCAGCAAAAAGCAGGATTCATACTTGTACATCTGATGCAAATGCCACCCAGATAAACACTGATCTGCTACGATAAAACACACATCAGTTAGAAGATAAAAACTGCTATACTGGGTCAGAGGAGATTTCATCTACCCCAATATCCTATTTCTGATACAGCTAGTGGCACAAGCTCTGTGAATATTTTTACATCTGGCTATCAACTGACTATCTAAGGATTTCCTTAACTTGCTTTAAAAGTTCATCCACACATGACCTCTTTTAGGTAGCCCCATGTCCCATCCTTCAGTTAGAGTTGTTGGTTGCTACACAGAAATAGGCCAATTTGGTACATGAATGTCCAGAGACAACAAGATACACAGAATCCCAGCCTGGTTTGGGTTGGAAGGGACCTTAAGGCTCATCCAGTTCCAACTCCCTGCCAGAGGCAGGGACACCTTCCACTAGAGCAGGTTGCTCCAAGCCCCTGTGTCCAACCTGGCCTTGAACACTGCCAGCGATGGGGCAGCCACAGCTTCTCTGGGCACCCTGTGCCAGCGCCTCAGAACCCTACCAGGGAAGAGCTTCTGCCAAAGAGCTCATCTCAATCTCCCCTCTGGCAGGTTCAAGCCATTCCCCCTTGTCCTGTCCCTACAGACCCTTGTTCAAAGCCCCTCCCCAGGTTTCCTGTAGCCCCTTTAGGCACTGGAGCTGCTCTAAGGTCTCCTCTTAAGGAGCCTTCTCTTCTCCAGGCTGAACAAGCGCATCCATGAGTAGCTTTAACCTTTAAGTTTTCACCACTCTAAAAATCCAAAACGACATTTGAAAACAGCAGACCCCTCAATCTGCAATCTCTCTAGAAACAATCTCCAGCCTTGGCAGACACAGGGGAAGTTTCACCCATTTGCCTTAGCTGAGGCAAATTAATATGTTGTGCAGTGATGGTCACTTGTAAACCTCAAGGACTTACAGAAAATCAGCCTGGCACAGGAACCAGTTTTTACAATCAGCATCTACCTTCTACTTTCTAAAATCTTCAGTTACTGAGGCAAGCTAGTGGCAGACCCCTGGGAGCTTGCATCACTTGCAGACACTGCCACACAGAGCGGTGCACTTGAGGTCTGGATATGTGCATGGTGACCAGCTCTGCCACTCTCCAGTGCGTTAGCAGCAAGGTTCTGCCTATGCTTTCCTTTCTGAGGCCACAGATTTGAATACAACTTCACATCAAATGTTTTCTTCACACAGAGTATTTACAGGTGGTTTTAAATCTTTAAAGCAGGGACACAACTGAAAGTTTAAAAGTAAAACAACTGAACTCCTGATAGCTATTAAATCCCAATAGATTCACGGGGACTGAAACATTTCGGATCTGGGATTTTTCATCTAACCCCAGGCTCAGATGTGCACGTGCAGCTCATTACTGTATTGGATTTGCACCTACTTAGGGCAAGGCTGGAATTTTTTAATCTGTCTTTACTTCACAGACAGTTGGCATGTGTCGGTTATGTTGTGCCACATCCCAGCGGCAGGGATTTTCATCTCCCAGTAACTCCAGAAAGGTGCAATGATACTAACTTTGATAAAACCAATTATGTCAGACTCTTTTTAAAGTTGAAAACATTGGGATCACTCTTACAGAAATCCATCTGGATCACGTTGTGCCACGTGAGTCTCGGATAACTTCGCTTTCATCCCTCCCTATTTCAGACTAGGGGGGAGGAGAGAGAGATGAGATGAGTTACAGCCAGGCTAATACGCTGTCCATGTTACTCTGCACCCATTCTTCTTTCCTTGCTGTGCAGTTGGATTCTGGCACCCCCACTCAGCCCAGATGCTACTGGTACCAGCACTATTACCAAGCCTATGGTCCCCACTCCAGCTGAACACAGACATCATACTGGACAATAAACACATCATTTAATGATCCAGATAACCATTGCATTTAGCATTGCCAAATGGAAGACAAACTCTGCCCTGTTATTTATCTGCAACTCCACAGAGGTGCATAAAACTGGGAAACACAAAATCGTGCTTTGCTCACATAAGAGAGGGAAAGAAACCTTAAGAGGCTTTTGTTTAGATTAGATTTTGGGAGAAGGGAGAGGGAAATCCTTCTTTCTAATTTGCCAAGACATATTGCCAGTCTACCAATAATTCACCCAAGGAATGAAGCAATTCCCAGTCTCCTGGACATCCCATGAACTGTACAATCATTTGATTTCTTCTGAAGGGCTGCTCTCTACATTAACCTAAACCGCTCAGGTTTGCCTCACGTACCTGCAAATGTCACCATCCATCCCACTGACAGGGATTTCCGTGCACTCCCCGTTGTCTATAGCCCACTGCTGGCCAGCTCCACAGCAGCTCTCAATCAATTCCTTCGTGGAACCTGCATGAAACAGACACACAGCATTTTTAATGTGGAATGGATTGGTTTTAGCTCTGTTTCCCTAATTGAGAAGATCTTTAAAATAACAATAGTTCAGCTTTTTATTCTTCTTTCTTTCCCCATTTCATTTGTTTACATGCAAAAAGAGGCAACTGATACCTGCAGTATCTTGACATGACCAATCACTAGGTAATGTGTTTCAGGGAGGAACAACAGAAGCAAATTGGAGTTTTAAGCACAACAAAAGACATAACTGGTTTGAAGACAACTCCATCTTTGACATCTCTGGACAAAAAAAGCCCTGTAAAATCATGCATGGCTACCTAACTCAAGTTAGTTTAGTAAGTCATTCTGCTGTTGTAACAGTGCCTGCACCACAAGACCAGGTTGCTCCTGAACACTGCCAAGAATGGGGCAGCCACAGCTTCTCCGGGCACCCTGTGCTAGTGCCTGAGCAATGGAAGGCACACGTGCCTCATATGTCAATACACAACTCCACAAAGAGTCAACGGCCTGGTGCTGCACCTGCTCTCCCCATTGGCTCATCAGAAGTGAGTTCACCAGTTCCTTTTAAAGCCATTTATATGGACGTAAGGAACATCTTGTGAATTTCATTCATACTTTCAGGCCAGTCTCTGGGATGGTCTGGTGTTGCCATCAAGAGAAAACAAGACAAAACCACCCCAAGCTGAGCTGTAGGAGATGTGAGGGTGCAATGGACTCCACACCTGGGCACTCTCTGACCAACACCCAGCAACACCACACTGCACAACAATGTGTTTTCAAGAACTCTCAGCCAGTTTTGGGGCTTCAGACTGTGCAATGCTTCCATTCTATGCAGCATTATTAACAATGTTAAAAATCTACTTTAGTCTCAAAAGCCGTGTTCTGTGTAAGAGTTGCTGTATGACACAAGACGGATGATACATGAAGTTAAACTAGGCAGGAAATATACTTGGTGCCAGGTAATTACGAGACACTGCTGTAAAACAGTGTTTCAACACCATTTTAATTCAGTCCCTTGGTGGAAATGCCATTCATTTTACCAAATGCTGAAACACATTTATTGCTACACTGTTAGGTTTAAAACATGAGAATACAGCAGAAATTACTAATCTACAGTAATCTACATGATTTATAATTCCAATCACAATGAATTACTCAGTCCTCACTAAGGATTCAATAGTAGATTGCTGGGCTCAAGTGCCATACTACTGAGCAGTCACATTTACAAAATATATTGCCTTCTGGTATGACTTTATGAATAATTAACTCTAGAATGCAGTTATAATAAAATGAAATATTGCATTTTATCTCAATCAGGAATTAGAAAAACTGAATAATTCATAATAGGACTCAATCATTAGCATGGATTTATGATACTTTGATTTTACATTAGAACTAGATACATGCACAAGACTGAGTATCACATAGGTCTATGCGGGATGAAGACTTCAAGCTATAACAGACTGAAATACTTAAACATTCAAACAGAGCTTTGTTTATTTGGGGCTTTCATTATTTCATCAGATTTAGAAGTAGATTTGCATCTGCTCATGGAAAACAAAGTCATTTTAGTTGAGAACACCATAATCCCGAATATTTGTTACACTGCGTGCATCTCTGATACTTCAGAGTCATTTAACAGGACCTGTCAACAGATAATTTGCTACTTGTGAATTTCTTCACAAGTAAAAAACCCAAACAACTTATTTCAGGCTGCACTACAAAACACCATCATGCCTCCACTTGTTTTCCATTTAGTAACTTATTTCCTACAATTATCACTCTATGTCACTCTGAAGATATGAACTGAAGTACATTTTGACCTAATCTTAAGTTTGTGTATTGACTTTTAGAGGCATTCAGAATTTAATTCAAATAGTTAGAGAAACATTTTCTCTCTAGAGAATTTTAACTCCTCCTTGACTGTACCTTAAAATGTCACCTTGTCTCAATGCGGGTCCAAACCTGACTCATGGTGCGATGGCCTCTCACTGACTTGGGATGCATCAAGGTTTTCCATATGATATCCCTGCAGCTTCGACATGCTGCTCCCCAGGAATTTCATCTTTCAGCTACAAGAATTGAAAAATCTGCTACAGGAGGTAGTGGGGAGCGTGTGTTTTAAAAAGTTCAGCTGAAGCTCAAACTCTACACTGCGGAAAGCAGACAGTTAAAGGCTACCGAATTACTTACACAAGGAGTTTGATAGAACAGCAAAGGAGACAAAAGGTATTTTCAAAACCCTCCCCTTCCTTTTCACCCCCCAGTGTTCACAAATCATGTTTCAAGAGTGATAAAGCACCAGCCAGCTCTCTGATGGTCAAGAAGGGATAGGACATTTCAGTTGCTTAGCAGAGGTTTCCTGACACTAAAGTTGCACTGATTTCAGCTTCACCCGAATTTCCACAAAAAGGCAATGTTCATACCTCTGTAACTAAGCTGAGCTCCTGTCCTTACAATGAAGCAAGCTATCCAGCTCCTATACCTCAGGAAAATAGTTTATCTTCCTCAGAACTACAGTACTTACTCTTGGGAGGGACGGACAACAACACTAAAAGCCAACCAACACCACAGGATCTTGCAAGGAAATGAGTTTGTACACTGAGATTAATTTTGATGTGGAGCCTCCTAGAAATGAGGCACTCCATTAAGATGCATCTTCATTCTGCGGGTCTCATTGCTCATCCACACAGGAAGCTGACAGGCCTGACTCTCAAGCCATAACATCATTTTGAACAACACAAATGCACAAACTGCCCGAGTCCTGAGCTGCCATAAATCATCCACCCCCAAGCCCAGCATCACCTGCAGGAAGGCAGCAGCACATCAGCTTAACGAACTGGCCTCAGAGAGCCCCTAATGACCCTCCTCAGCAACACTTGTGGTGGATGATGACTTCCCAAGTAGCAAAGCATAGAATCATAGAATCCCAGACTGGTTTGGGTTGGAAATGGACCTTAAGATCATACAGTTCCAACATCTTGCTATGGGCAGTGAAAAAACGCACGAAGGCTGACTCCTTCATTGGAGCACACCTAGCACCATTCTGCACCTTAAAAGCAAGCTGTGATGTGGTATAAAAGCTGATCCAGTGGGATAGGCTACTTTCATCTGCTGCAATACACCCTCACCCAAGTGAGTGAAAAAGGCACCAGAAATGGTACAGAGCAGAACAGAAGCAGTTTCCATCACCTTTCCATGAGCACATATGATCAAGGAAGAGATCAAAGCAGCGTGCTGCTTTTCCTGTCTAGTCAGTGCTCATGACTTGTTTCCTGCTCCCTTATAAAAACCCAAGGCACCTTGAACATGTGTTCATAGTTTCATATGTGTCTATTTTTCCTCCTAAAAGAAGGGGTACCTAGACATGCAGAGCACCCAGCACATCCATTTCACAAGAACTGTTCGCTCACACTGGAGAAAGAGGTATTGTATTTCCTTATCAAATACCTGCCTGAGAACATAAACCTCTATGTTATGGCAAAAAATGAAGAACTTCACAGAACAACGATTAACTTGATGGAGTTCTTAAAAAAATGAAAAATACCTGTTTCCAGGGGGTCTTTTTTCTGCTCCAGTCTCTTCATCACTTACAGCTTTAATAAATAGTAATAATAATAATAATGTACTGTAGCTTTACCCTGTAATAGTTTGCCATTTCTTACCTATCAACAGTCTGAGAGGCTTTATTAAATTCCCTCACTGAATTTTGCCATTCGGTTTGCAGCATAACATGTTCTGAACTTGATTCATCAGTGACGGCTGGGAAGACATTTTAATGAGTGAAGGTGAAGAGGAGAATAACATTTATTTTGGCAAAGACAGGGGAGGGGAGAGTGACAACACAGCCCCAGAGGCAGCTGCTTTCACTTCAATCTGAACCACCACTTACGTCATTAGGCCTAGTTAAGCTTTCTTCAGGACCTGTTCCCAGATAAATGAGTGTATGGTTTATTCTGTGCAGGTTACTCCAGGCTCCTCAAAATGCTCAGTGTTCAGGAGCAGATTTGACTGTAAATCTCACTGAAATGAGAGTAATGCTCAAGAGTTTCCGTGACCAAACCCTCAGTTAGCTCATTGCTCGGGAAGGGGCTTTAACCCACAGGCACTCATGAGGCTTTTAGGCTCCTCTCATTGGAAATAATGAAAAAGCAGATTGCAGGAGAAACACAGGCTGAACTGAGTTCAACACATATCCCATGGCTTCAATCCAGTACCTAATCCTTCTCTCCTCTTTTCCATCATCCCCTTCCATTTCTACTGGACTCAATTTGCCATGCCATCATCACAGTAATGTGAGTGAGTTCCATCACACTTGCAGCAACCTGCCTTCATTTTAAACTTCATGCAGCAAAGCGGGTTTCTACGGTCTTCTTCTTCCCCTCAAGTCACCTGCATCTCTTTAGAAATCCATCCCACCGTTCATCCAGGACAAGTTCCTGTTTTATTACCTTCACTCCTTGGGAGGCATCTGCTTTCTATTTCAACCTGAAAATGCTGTTTCCTACATTATTCTTTTTTCATAAATTCCTTATGCTGGCTCGCTTGGCAAAATATAAAGAGTTGTGTCTGCCCAAAGGCACAATATAAAACTGGATAAACCCAAGTGAATGTTCTCATTTTACTATGTACTGTACAATAGAGACATACATCAACATAGCCTCAGCCAGGATTGTTTGGCAGATTCTGTTCAAAGTGTGAATGAATAGCAACCTTATATTCCCTCTGGCTTTAGCTCTGGATAATCCTTGTAAGTCAAAACTTGTATTACCTGTGCCAGAGGTCAGATAATTTAGACTGTGTTTGGTCTTAAACGTTTCCATGACAGCACCCTTTATTAGCTCCAGGTTGGAAGGAGGGGTGGGTGTGTGTGTGTGTAAACAACTAAATAAATTCTTTAACGTTTTTCACCAACTAGAAATCTAAGCAATTTCTCTTCCTGCCTTTGGAAACTTTGGCTTACTGAGATTCATCTTTCTGTCACTGAGTTTAAA